GATGGTACTAAATTATCATTGGAGAGTATGTCACTAGAGCTTATGGCTTCATATAATCTGGATGCATATGGTTTTATTCTTTGTTCTTTTTTTCTTTTTTTTTCTAATTTTCGTTTGAGGTAGCACTTTCGAAACTGATTATTATTATTATTTGTTCAGGATTTAATGTGGAGACTGTGGAATACAAAAACATTAGCTTTACAGTTTGGGATGTCGGGGGCCAGGATAAGGTATTAATTAATGATTTTTCCTCACTCCCCCCACACCCCCCCCCCCCAACAAGTGTATGAAGTAACATGATTGTTGATGCCTTCATGTTGATGAATTCATATCACAAGAACAGGAAGGATTAAAATCCTTTACCCGCGCAAAGCACGTATTAATTAGTCCTCAATCAGGGGAAAGGAGAACAAGATCAACAAAATGATAACGAAACCATAAAAAGAAAATGCACAATGTGTTCCAATCCAATGCTGTGAAATCAGAAAACACGCAGTACACACACTTAACACATCATTAATTCGAACTAGAATGGAACCCATAATATCAACAACTAAGCCTATCCCATCGTCCTCTTCTCTACTTGAAAGAGTTGAGGAAACTCCTACTATATTATATTAAGCAGCAGATGGGGCTGCCACGTAGTGCACGGCCGATGCCTTGGCCTCCGTCATTGCTGCTGCAACCAGTGGCTGCAAAGCCACCGCCTCCACACGTATTCCATCGGACACCACCGGCTCCGGTTTCTTGTAGTCCAGTGACTCGTCCTTGTAAATATCCCACCACTTCGTTACCAGCATCTTTATGTCTTCTCTTTGCATGTTCTCTTCTTTTCCTGTATATCTCCATGGCTTTGAACCCTATTAACATAAATTAAGGCAAATAATTTACTAGAACGAATCCGTCAAAACAACACTACACAAGTTACGTGAAAGGACTCATATTAAAGATAATATATATGATATACTATATTTACCAGCTTAACATTATATACCAAGTAGTATAAAACTTACCGCTGCACAGTAGTGCACAACCTTCACTTTGTCAAGCTCAACATTCTCCGGATGACGCCATAACATTGCAAGAACAAGGTTGTACACATTAGGAATCGGCTTGTATATATCCCTAAAATACAAGTTCAAGAAATCCTGCCAAAAATCCGTACATAGCATCACAAAACTTTAACCCCCTTTGATATTGTAGATTTCATATGATGTGTGATCGAAAATGAATTTTTTATATCTAAATTTTAACACCTGTTCAGCAAAAGGAGTGGGAGGCGTGATTTTGACTCTCTTCAAGAGATCTTCATAGGTTGCAAGGCTTGGTTCAAACACAAACATACCGGCGTTGAAGTAGAGGGAAGGTGGAGGACCCATCTCCGCCGGCCACTTGACTTTTTCCGGGCACTGTTGGCAGTACCCAATCTTGTATTGAGGTGTGTGACTCCATGTTTTCTCACAGAAACAATCCATTACAGCATAGAGATGGCTATCAGGCAAGTCAAAAAGGTGGTCAATATTATCATACACTTGTATATCTCCATCCAAGTATATAATTTTACTGTACTCCATAAACTGCAACATAAACCAAAAAGTTTGTAACCATCAAACATGCACGTATTCCTCAACAGAAGAAAAAAAAATCTTCTACATATATAATATACCTCCCAAATACGAAGCTTGGAGTAGTTGATGACATAATACGCCATGGCAAACTGGGTGTGGTTCTCAGGTGGGTACACGGGCTCAATCTCCCTAACTATGCAGCCTTGATCCTCCAGTACGCGGCGGTGCTCCACAGGGACGTCCGGCAGCACCGCCACGATCAGAGGATAGGCAGTTTTCACCTTTCTTAACCCTTTGGCTAACCCAACAACACCCTTAACGTAGTCACCGTTTCCAGCCAAGAATGTCACAAAGGCCCTTCCGGAGAAAGAAGTTGACTGAATATAACCAGTTGATTTTGCAACAAGTTCAGGAGCCATAATTGAGTTGTTACCTGAAAGATGAATTAGTTAAAACAAGATTTTAAAAAATTCAGATTGGATTCTGTGAAAGATTAAAAAGAGTTCTTAAGGAAAAAGAGATGTCTATGAAGTTGTATTTTCTCTTCAAGCCCTGACCGGGATGGTGTTTATATAGCGGTGAGACTAGGTTACAGTATGGGGATGTGAAACATTTATCGAAACATTACACTGTTGGTGCTCAACCTATTATCCGAATAACAAGTTGGTGTTTACTTTTTAAAATATGAACAAGTTAGTCCTCTGTACAATTGAAAATTTGATCACTAACAATGAAAAATTGTCACGTGACCTTCACGTACCTAATTTTTAGAAGTTTGATTTTGTTTTAAAAATTTGAAAGTGATACATAATCCATGTTTGATACAGAGTTTATAAAACTCATTTTCAATCATACAATTTTTAAAAAGATCTTTTTTTTTTTTAACCTACCCATTCTTCAAAAAGTCAATTTTTCACAAAATTGACTCTAAAAATCTACATTAAATGTCTATAATTTTACAACGATCACTTGAAAAATCAATGAATTTAGATATTTTCTGGTGTTGAGGACTCGCTAGAGAAATATAATGAAATATTGAGGATCAACTAAGTTCATGCCCACTGCCTCAAGATTGGTGTCTTTTTAGTTTTGAACGTCCTTGCATTGGAGTTTTGACACGCCAAGTCATCGACAGATCACATTTTGCTTTGCAAATGAGAAGACAATATATTTTTGACACATTGACAAGTTACATCTTGTTGTCTTTTCATTGTTAAGAATGAGTGATTCATCGACATACCATAAATATATTGAAATAAAATTTGGGATCACATACTTTTACTCGAATCAACTTGCACCTCTTAAAAGTTTGCAAACAAAGTAATTAATTGGGGACCAATGATGAAAAATTCTTCTATTTATCTTTCAAATATTGATTCCTTTGACTTTGGCTGTGTACTGACACGTGTCTGCATCAACGGTGGAAAATGGGCTTAAGGAAATTTCTCGAAATGACGAGGATAGACGCTAGAAAGCACCACTTATTTCGGGTCAACCTGAGGCCCGTGTTTACCTGTATCTTTGTCACTGCTGGCCACTGCCGGAATTATAGCGTTTTATTTGGGAGAAATTATTTGAAATAAAAAATTTATGTGAAATTAGTGAGCATATATATATATATATATATATATATATATATTGTGTAATCGGTTATTGAAAATGAGTCTGAGAAAAAATAATATTTAAATAAATTATGTTACGAACATTTAATCTCATGAAAAACTAAAAATAATAAAATAAAAGAAGAGATCTAACAAAGTTTTCTCTAGAAGATGCTAATTATATTATATTCTCATCGTTTAGGCGTGAAAAATTACGGCCATTAATTAATTTTATCAGGTTAAAAGTAATCAAGACATTATAGATGATCATTTGATTTTATTCAACACGTTTTTCACTTCCTAAGTGTGATTGTCTGATAATAACTGTCGGTGAATTCATATAATGTATATTTTACAATTTAATTTTAATTATGTGATAACAATTCAATTGTTTTTCTAGTGTACAAAGTTTATTATTGTCAACTGTCATGAAAATTCATACATTTTGGAAACTAAAGTATTAAAACATTTTAAAGCAGCACTATAATCACTTGCACGTTTCTCATATTTATTTATTTATTTTACATTAAACTCTTTAAGTTTAATAATACTCCCAATTTTCTAGGGCTTAGAATAATTGGAGAAAAGAAAGGTATCTATATTAGAAATGAGTTAAATTAGATGAAACCAAGTATTATGTGTTGATGAATTGAAGTGGATAACTCGTTAGTTCTTGTTAAGTTATTTTCATGTTTCAAGAAAAAAGAAGTGTTTTTTTAGTGTGATCTTTATGTGCCATATATTAAGCAACAAAAGTGTGTAAAGTAAATAAATATACAATAGCTTGACCCTATCATAAATTGATAATATTGTTGTTCTCGAATTCGATGGGATCATATATTCAATGGATCTCATCTTCCGTTCATGTGTATGTTACTTGCATACTTAAACGTTAATTTGGACTAAAATGATTGTAGCCGCAATGCAGTCCTCCTAGTATTTGCAAACAAGCAAGATCTCCCAAATGCAATGAATGCTGCTGAAATAACTGACAAGCTTGGCCTTCATTCTCTCCGCCAACGTCACTGGTAACTAAATCTGGTTAGGCCTTTTCTAAATTAGGCATTTGATCTTACGGTATTCAAAATGCAGGTACATTCAGAGCACATGTGCCACGTCTGGTGAAGGCCTGTACGAGGGGTTGGACTGGCTTTCAAACAACATTGCAAACAAGGTGCAGCATGCAGATGCTTAACAGCATTTGGATATTTTGCTTGCACATTTTATTCTTTTGGGCGCTCCTGATGTTTATATTCATTGCAATTTGCAGGCTTAGATTGCTGTGTATCTAAGGTGCAGTGTTGTATCAGTGCTGGAAGAAGCTTTCATTTCTCTGTTGCTTTGGACTTCTGCTTTTTCTGTCATTAAACTTGGTTGCTTTTGGGAAGGTTGAAATCTGATTCTCGTACTTTGGAATAATTCATAAATTTTTGTCGGTTCTTTAGCATCATCCCCTGTTACATATTCACACCTAAGATCTTTTTCCATATTCGGTTGTTCTATAAGGAATCACTTCCTTTTCTGCACATAAAGCAGGACGAGTGTTACTTCCAACATCGGCTCATGCACCAATACCCGTATACGGATCGATTTAAGATCCGAAGGCATTTTTGATTTGGTTATACGTTGCCAATTTATATACTTGTCAATCCATAAATGTGTTTTTCTACCAGTTGGTAATGGTGTAATATTACAAACGAGTCTAGGTGGTGGTGACTGCGAATAAAGTTGATTGAGAATAAATTAAAGAAAAGTCAACGGCATTTCCTTTCCTTATTTAGCATATTGCAATGTTTAAAAGAGAATCATATCCAAATGGACCCAGTCACCATATCACAAGAACAGGAAGGATTAAAATCCTTTACCCGCGCAAAGCACGTATTAATTAGTCCTCAATCAGGGGAAAGGAGAACAAGATCAACAAAATGATAACGAAACCATAAAAAGAAAATGCACAATGTGTTCCAATCCAATGCTGTGAAATCAGAAAACACGCAGTACACACACTTAACACATCATTAATTCGAACTAGAATGGAACCCATAATATCAACAACTAAGCCTATCCCATCGTCCTCTTCTCTACTTGAAAGAGTTGAGGAAACTCCTACTATATTATATTAAGCAGCAGATGGGGCTGCCACGTAGTGCACGGCCGATGCCTTGGCCTCCGTCATTGCTGCTGCAACCAGTGGCTGCAAAGCCACCGCCTCCACACGTATTCCATCGGACACCACCGGCTCCGGTTTCTTGTAGTCCAGTGACTCGTCCTTGTAAATATCCCACCACTTCGTTACCAGCATCTTTATGTCTTCTCTTTGCATGTTCTCTTCTTTTCCTGTATATCTCCATGGCTTTGAACCCTATTAACATAAATTAAGGCAAATAATTTACTAGAACGAATCCGTCAAAACAACACTACACAAGTTACGTGAAAGGACTCATATTAAAGATAATATATATGATATACTATATTTACCAGCTTAACATTATATACCAAGTAGTATAAAACTTACCGCTGCACAGTAGTGCACAACCTTCACTTTGTCAAGCTCAACATTCTCCGGATGACGCCATAACATTGCAAGAACAAGGTTGTACACATTAGGAATCGGCTTGTATATATCCCTAAAATACAAGTTCAAGAAATCCTGCCAAAAATCCGTACATAGCATCACAAAACTTTAACCCCCTTTGATATTGTAGATTTCATATGATGTGTGATCGAAAATGAATTTTTTATATCTAAATTTTAACACCTGTTCAGCAAAAGGAGTGGGAGGCGTGATTTTGACTCTCTTCAAGAGATCTTCATAGGTTGCAAGGCTTGGTTCAAACACAAACATACCGGCGTTGAAGTAGAGGGAAGGTGGAGGACCCATCTCCGCCGGCCACTTGACTTTTTCCGGGCACTGTTGGCAGTACCCAATCTTGTATTGAGGTGTGTGACTCCATGTTTTCTCACAGAAACAATCCATTACAGCATAGAGATGGCTATCAGGCAAGTCAAAAAGGTGGTCAATATTATCATACACTTGTATATCTCCATCCAAGTATATCATTTTACTGTACTCCATAAACTGCAACATAAACCAAAAAGTTTGTAACCATCAAACATGCACGTATTCCTCAACAGAAGAAAAAAAAATCTTCTACATATATAATATACCTCCCAAATACGAAGCTTGGAGTAGTTGATGACATAATACGCCATGGCAAACTGGGTGTGGTTCTCAGGTGGGTACACGGGCTCAATCTCCCTAACTATGCAGCCTTGATCCTCCAGTACGCGGCGGTGCTCCACAGGGACGTCCGGCAGCACCGCCACGATCAGAGGATAGGCAGTTTTCACCTTTCTTAACCCTTTGGCTAACCCAACAACACCCTTAACGTAGTCACCGTTTCCAGCCAAGAATGTCACAAAGGCCCTTCCGGAGAAAGAAGTTGACTGAATATAACCAGTTGATTTTGCAACAAGTTCAGGAGCCATAATTGAGTTGTTACCTGAAAGATGAATTAGTTAAAACAAGATTTTAAAAAATTCAGATTGGATTCTGTGAAAGATTAAAAAGAGTTCTTAAGAATAAAGGAAAAAGAGATGTCTATGAAGTTGTATTTTCTCTTCAAGCCCTGACCGGGATGGTGTTTATATAGCGGTGAGACTAGGTTACAGTATGGGGATGTGAAACATTTATCGAAACATTACACTGTTGGTGTTCAACCTATTATCCGAATAACAAGTTGGTGTTTACTTTTTAAAATATGAACAAGTTAGTCCTCTATACAATTGAAAATTTGATCACTAACAATGAAAAATTGTCACGTGACCTTCACGTACCTAATTTTTAGAAGTTTGATTTTGTTTTAAAAATTTGAAAGTGATACATAATCCATGTTTGATACAGAGTTTATAAAACTCATTTTCAATCATACAATTTTTAAAAAGATTTTTTTTTTTTTTAACCTACCCATTCTTCAAAAAGTCAATTTTTCACAAAATTGACTCTAAAAATCTACATTAAATGTCTATAATTTTACAACGATCACTTGAAAAATCAATGAATTTAGATATTTTCTGGTGTTGAGGACTCGCTAGAGAAATATAATGAAATATTGAGGATCAACTAAGTTCATGCCCACTGCCTCAAGATTGGTGTCTTTTTAGTTTTGAACGTCCTTGCATTGGAGTTTTGACACGCCAAGTCATCGACAGATCACATTTTGCTTTGCAAATGAGAAGACAATATATTTTTGACACATTGACAAGTTACATCTTGTTGTCTTTTCATTGTTAAGAATGAGTGATTCATCGACATACCATAAATATATTGAAATAAAATTTGGGATCACATACTTTTACTCGAATCAACTTGCACCTCTTAAAAGTTTGCAAACAAAGTAATTAATTGGGGACCAATGATGAAAAATTCTTCTATTTATCTTTCAAATATTGATTCCTTTGACTTTGGCTGTGTACTGACACGTGTCTGCATCAACGGTGGAAAATGGGCTTAAGGAAATTTCTCGAAATGACGAGGATAGACGCTAGAAAGCACCACTTATTTCGGGTCAACCTGAGGCCCGTGTTTACCTGTATCTTTGTCACTGCTGGCCACTGCCGGAATTATAGCGTTTTATTTGGGAGAAATTATTTGAAATAAAAAATTTATGTGAAATTAGTGAGCATATATATATATATATATATATATATATATATTGTGTAATCGGTTATTGAAAATGAGTCTGAGAAAAAATAATATTTAAATAAATTATGTTACGAACATTTAATCTCATGAAAAACTAAAAATAATAAAATAAAAGAAGAGATCTAACAAAGTTTTCTCTAGAAGATGCTAATTATATTATATTCTCATCGTTTAGGCGTGAAAAATTACGGCCATTAATTAATTTTATCAGGTTAAAAGTAATCAAGACATTATAGATGATCATTTGATTTTATTCAACACGTTTTTCACTTCCTAAGTGTGATTGTCTGATAATAACTGTCGGTGAATTCATATAATGTATATTTTACAATTTAATTTTAATTATGTGATAACAATTCAATTGTTTTTCTAGTGTACAAAGTTTATTATTGTCAACTGTCATGAAAATTCATACATTTTGGAAACTAAAGTATTAAAACATTTTAAAGCAGCACTATAATCACTTGCACGTTTCTCATATTTATTTATTTATTTTACATTAAACTCTTTAAGTTTAATAATACTCCCAATTTTCTAGGGCTTAGAATAATTGGAGAAAAGAAAGGTATCTATATTAGAAATGAGTTAAATTAGATGAAACCAAGTATTATGTGTTGATGAATTGAAGTGGATAACTCGTTAGTTCTTGTTAAGTTATTTTCATGTTTCAAGAAAAAAGAAGTGTTTTTTTAGTGTGATCTTTATGTGCCATATATTAAGCAACAAAAGTGTGTAAAGTAAATAAATATACAATAGCTTGACCCTATCATAAATTGATAATATTGTTGTTCTCGAATTCGATGGGATCATATATTCAATGGATCTCATCTTCCGTTCATGTGTATGTTACTTGCATACTTAAACGTTAATTTGGACTAAAATGATTGTAGCCGCAATGGTTGCAAACACTCCAACATCAAGTCAAACAACTAAACATATTTAGGTATGGGAGAGACATAATGAGCGAACACATAATTATCGGGTTGAAAAAGAATATTACTAAGACATAGAGTAATTTTGTATTCAAAATCATATTATCTTTGGAAGTCATTATGTGTGTGAGTATCCATACTAGGAGAAATGCCTTGATGTCAATTTGATGCTTGATGTATGGGCGCGTCCAAACAATTAATATGTCAAGTTTAATCGTATCATCTCTGATTGTGATAAGCTGAAGAGTAGCCATATTAGGCCTATGACCGTGATAGCTTGCATGGACTAAATGGCATTATTGCAGAGCTATCAAATATGACGTTGCACAATGTGTCTTGACCTAGACGAGGTCTTTAGAGGATATCTATAACAAACGATGTCAATCACGTGGAAATACGTTGTAATAGGAAGGTGACATTTTCTCAAAAATAATACCTTGGACGAGGAGTCCAAGGACTGTGTCCAATCGCCTCTTAGAGCACACATGAAGGGGTGAGGAATGTAGACCTTTCGTCACCTTTTCACCTTTTGCTTAGCTGGTTGTCATGTGATTTGCTTCATAAGCCAAAACGTAACAATTAATAATTAAATCAAATACTGAGAATCAAGAATCAGTTAGAAGTGAATAGTTCTCATTTTCAAGTTCATAACTAATTAAGTAATTAATTTTAATTGAAATCGATGAATGAAATACTTGATATAAAGATTACACCATGTTTATCATAAGCGAAAACACGAGTGTGCGCAATTGCTTTGCCCTTGCCCCACCTACGCACCACCATGCACCAAGTTTGAAGAAATTCATATTGTTTAAAGATTGAGATTATCACAATGAGTTTTTTATGTCGGTTTTTTAAAGGTACCGACAGGAATACCATTTTGGTTATTCCATCTATGAAAATGACGCATCATTTCTTTAATAATATATTAACAGATAGCCACTGGCGGACCCACAGTATGTCATGGTGGGTCACTTGACCCACCAATTTTATATTTTTTAAGAAGTTGGATATGAAGAAGAAGAACCCGAGTCCAAAAAATCTGAAAGCTTTAATTTTTTAAATAATGTGAAAGATTCATTCATGAAAAGTTGTATGCCTCTTTCTTCAGGAAATTATTTCTTTTTGATGATTTCTTTTGTTTTTCTTATCAAATAAAAGTGGGGACCACTTAAGCGCTCCAATTTCTATCTTGTTTTGGCAATTTTATAATAATGGATTCTTGTTGTAATTTTTGTCTTTGTTTGGACTAAAGTACGATTGATGAGGTAACATTGAGAATTATTGTGATTTTTGTACTTTTCACTTGAATTGATTGTGATGGAAAAATAATTTAAACATAAATATACGTTTTCTTTTGATGATCACGAGATAAAAGTGATGAAAATGATGTTGGAGATAAAAATGATAACAAACTTGGTGGTATTTGAGATAAACATAAATCTGTATTTTTTTTCAAGATCAATTTTGCCCCCACCAACTCGAAACGTCTATAGCTAAAGCGACCCTAATGAATTCATTTATTTTGGTAATAATATTTAATATATTTAATACATACTTTATTTCAACGCTCATCATTTTCTTCTTTGTCAATTTAATATATTAGAAATCGTTGACTTGAGGGCTTGGAGACTTTCATTAGTATTTTTGAAAAAAAAAATGAAAAATTCGATTATAATTTCAAATATTTTTGTTTAGAGAATGTTTGATAGTACTTTTAAATACTTATAAATTGCGAGTCATATAGAATATTTGCATAATAAGGGAATTGTAAACTATGATTGCTGCAAAATGTTCGAACAATAAAAACGTTCAATAAAAAATTTAAGTTTCACCAAACAAGCATTTAACACCAAACATGCACTTAAACAATGTCATTTTTTGCCCCCATGGCACATCTCCAAGTGGTAAAAGGGGAGGGTGGAGAAATTCAATTTTGCTTGAGGCTGCCGTGTCAAGGGTTCGAATCCTGAAATATGGATTTGGCTCTTGAATAAGTGCAAGTGTACAAGCAGCCTTCCACCTTGTATCCTTGGATGCATAACCTGCGATTTACCTCTCTCACGATACTCCAGGGTAAGGGTAGTGGGGGACCCTCAAGGTTGGGGTTCAACCTTCTAAACAATGCCATTTTTTCAATAACGAGGGGTCCAGACCGATATCCACCATTGTCGGAGAGTTTTTCTTTTTCTTTTTTAATTTTTATTTATTTTTTATTATTATTATTTTTTGTTATATAAGAATAAATAAACTAATTAAAGAAAACTGAGAACAAGTTACAGAACGATCCGCTCACATGGATTCAAAAATATAAAAGCTGAGGGTTATAATTTCATTTTTGGTCATTGAATGTTTAGAATTTTAACTGGGTTACTCAATTTAATTTATCTCAATCAATTAATTTAATAGTAATTTATTTTTAATGTTATTCATCTTACTTTGAACGTTAAAGATAACAGCAACATAACGTAAACATGAAGTACTATAACTTAAATGACATTTAAATAGCAATTCTTATCATGCATTGTGATAAATTAAATTGAAAATAACGTTAAATAAAATATTTATAGAGTGTTTAATTAACTTTATTTTTCATGAAAATATCATTTTTTTTTTTCACTTTTTTGGTGTTTGATTGATAATTTTTCAATGAAAAATATTTTCATCTTTATGTTCACGTGATTATAATTTCTTCAAAAACGAGAAAAATATTCTATTTAGGGAGAAGAAATTTTTATTTTTTTAGTAATTCACTAATTCACTCTTTTTCTCTCTCTCATATATTCATTCTCTCTCGTTTACCTATCAATAAAAAGAACAAGTATAATATTTTATAAATCGAAAATTAAATCAATCTAACATATTTAATTAATAATTTTCATATAAATAAATATTAAATAATTAAATTATCTAAAATTTATTTTCTTTTCATCAAAGTTTCATGATCGCAGTCAAAAAGGAATTTAGCCCCTATTTGATGCTCA